GCACACGGGTGGAGGACGTGCCGAGAGTGGACTTCGGGGGGAGATAGGACGCAGTTTTGCTGGCCATATGCAGTCTTGTGGTGTCCATGGGGTAGACCTGCTTTGCAGGTCGGGCAAGGTCGTACTGGGCCGACATGCTGCCACGCAGACGACGACGGGGGAGGGGAGAGCACAGTAAATGACTGTACCGTACGATATAGCGGACACCGAAGGTCAACTCACTTTTGAAACGGTACCAAACGTCACGAGCAATATGCAGAGGTCGTCGAAACGGGTGTAGCACGGCTAATTAAGCCTGCGGAGAGTGTGAGAGATGCGGGACGTGGCCGAGGGAAGAAAAATCACTGACATAATTGCAACGAGAATGAAAGGCGTTCCGGCGAGGTCGAAAACGCGAAGACTGAAGCTGATGTGCAGCGAGGCGTGTCGTCAAAAATCAACACGTGTAGGGTAGGGATGGCGATGGACGCGACGAGCGCGTCGAGATGGTATTTCCGTCACGAGGAACGACAGCGAGCAGCGAACGGAAAGCAGGAAGGACAGTATGCGAACAGCGAGAAAGGACCGTCGTCAGGTCAAAGAGCGAAGAGCAAAGGAATGTGAGCAGAGCGCGCGCGTCGTCGTCGTCGTCGTGGTCGTCGTCGGTGGCAAATCCGGCTCCGTTTTCCGTGCCTGGTCTGCTAATTAATTATTCCCACACCCACAACTGGCAATTCCCGACGCCCACTCCTAACCAATCGCAATACACAGTACTGTGGTCCTAGGACACCGTTCAATATATTTGAACAGCCGAAAGCCTCTGCAAGCCGGGTGATTCAGCGCCTTCATTCTTACGCCCTGCCCGTCCACGAGCCGCCGTCTTGCTGTCCTCCGATTTGCTGGTAAAGAGGGAGAAAGACTGCCAATGACTCCGGCAGGTGTGCATTTCCGTAAGCTGAACATGAATTGGAAGCAAAGAATTGAGCAGCCGTACGGCAACAAATCACACACAATAGCTGGTCGTACACTACAGAACTCCCGAAACCTAGTAACAGTCCATACGCGCATGGCAGTTCATCACATTCTAACGTAAAATGTCATTGGGGAGCATGGAGACATTAGACCCGGAGCACTTTGCCGACCCTCGCGCAGGGAGCCTACGCTTCCTTCGTTCCCCGAGTCAGCTCGTCGAGCCCCTCGTCGTGGCTCCAAAACGCCGCAGATTCTCCAGCCTGACCGGATTCGCCGCCCTCCACGGCCTTCTCCTCTGCGTTAACCACGTCCGCCACGCCAAGGCTTCGGAGGTACTGTTCCTTCACGACCGTCTCAATCCGTTCCGCCTCGCGCTCCTCCTTGCTCCCGCGCCAGAGCACGCGCTCCAGCGTGTGCCGCACGAGCATGCGCAGGAGGATGTACCCGTGCGAGGCCCCGAGTGCTATCAGCAGCGCGGAGCTCAGCATCTGCGGCGCCGACGAGTCAGGGCTGCTCAAGTGGTGATGCGAGTGCGAAAGCGATGTGCCCACCGGCTTGCACTGATTCGCCGGCCGGAACAGATACACGAGTGCCGAGTTCGTCAGCGCCGACAGCCAGGTGAGGAACGTGAGCGCGTCCAGCCAGGGCCCGATCGTGTCCGTGCGCGTGGGGATCGGTCGCCGGACGTGCACAGTTATTTTGAACGCGTCGGACCGCAACTCCAGCCAGTTGTTGATGAGTGCCATCACTGGAAAGGAGCTGTGAGCAAAGTTGACCCACTCGGTACGAGAGAGACGTACCTGGCGCAAGGGGCCAGATGGTGGACCACAGGGAGACATAGCCGAACTGTGTGACCATTTCGCTGTAGTCTGCGAAGAGATCGTACGGCGGCAGGGCGACCTCCCGCCTGACGCGGTCCATGAATTCGCGTTCCTCGCCTTCCAGCGCCTGCCGCTCTGCTTCCGGATTGCCCGATTGATCCTCGAACATCACCCGCTTCTTCTTGCCGTTCCCGTTGCTACTGGCAGCACCTGCGGCCGGCGCGGCAAGCGAGAGGCCCTTCCCGCTGCGCACGGACGCGACTGCGCGCAGGATGAATGGCAACCCGATCTCGAGGAAGGTGTTCACGACCTGGTTGGTAACCGTGAACGCGAACATCTGATCTTGCAGACGCTGCGGGTTGAGCTTGGTCCGGGCATTGACGCTGTCCGTCTCCCAGAACGTCCGGTTCGTCAGCGGCATGGAGGAGTTGTCGCCCTTGCCGGTCGCGGTCGTGTTAAACGGTGCGGTAACGTTGGCTGAGATGGAGGTGAGCACTGACCGCACCCAGGTAGTCGCGGAGGAATTGTCGTGGAAGAGGTAGTACTGCACGGCCGCCATGACTTCCTCTCCAAACGGCACGTAGACGAAAGCCGACAACGCGATGCCGAGATAGGCGACGACCGCGGACAAGCTGAACGTCTTGACCGTCAACGACGCGTCATGGGTAGATTGGTGACCGTGGTTCTCCCAATTGGTGAACGAGACCGCATACGAGTGATAAATACTGAGGAGCCGGGGAACCAGAGCGACGAAAAGGATAGTGGGGCTGAATCCCTGAAATGACGTCAGAATACCTTGTTGCGAAAAGACGTTTGGGTGACTCACGATAAGCTGATGCCCAGGACCCGTATAAAGGTGGGTGACGAAGGCCTCGAAGACAAAGATGGCGGTGAGCAGAACAGCGAGCACGGATGCAAAGAACAGGATGACGGGCAAGCTTGCGAGCGCCCGGACGTCTTTCCGCCACCAGGGAAGTGGCACGTATTGTGCTCTTCGCTTCTCGACGCGGAACGAGCCTTTGGTGCCCCAACGCACGGACAGCTGCCTTTGTTTGATCCGCCACCATTCGACGAAGGTGATCGACCAAAGCAGGAGGATGGATGAGTACAGGGTAGAGTATGGCAGGGCGAAGAAGTAGAATCCGACTCCGACCGCTGAGATGAAGAGGAGATGTTTAGTGTAGAACGAGAGGAAGTGGAAATAGATGGCCACGGCTTCGCCGAACTATAAGAAGTCAGAAAGTGGTCCGACGTAGCGATCACCCATGCACTTACTTGCTCGCGAATCTTATCGAACTTCACAAACCCGAGCTGTCTTGTTGTCCACGCGCGGATCCAGGCATCATTGAATTCGTGATCATGCAGAACCATGACCGACTCCACACGGTCCCAGTTCGACGAGCCCGGTGCTATGCCGAGCCCTCCATCTGCGGAGTGGCGGTGACGTACGTGTACACCAGTCGTAACCTGTCTGCCGGGTGAGAGGTTCCGAAGCAAGGTCTCTGGTGCTCGTAGGATTGGTGGCCGGCAGTCCACACAAAAGTCTGAGTATCTGTTGGAAAGTCAGCAAGATGATACGGAGAATAGTCAATCGCCGCAGGTAGTGCAACCAATGTTGGGCTGTGCCAGAGCCTACTGACACAGATCTGAGCAATATTCGCGCAGGCCCACACGGGTACTCCGAACCATTACTGGGATCGCCCATACCCCCCACCCACGCACACCCTCTCCCCGTTCCTTTCGGTTGTGTTTGGCTATGAGCCACTGGCGTATGCACAAAGGAATTATCTTGACTGTGTGAGACGAAGGAATTTCCCGGGAAGAGCCGTAACATCGCTCTGTCTAGGCCACATCATATAGTCTCACGACAGTACTTGCGAAGTACGACAGGCGTGCAAAATCCGTCTACGTCGCTTTACCCCTCCATCGACCACTCCAAGAGGTCGGTCTCGTGTTGATAAGAAATGTGCCAAGTTATGACCAAGCGGAGTGGTACAGCGACTGGCAGACCAAGTTGTGCACGTCTGTCGCACTTTGCAAGGGTTGTCGTGGGATATCTCCCCTCACTACTACTACGAAACGACTGACAATCTTCCGCGACCCAGTAAATCCTCTACCGACTCTACAGCGCGCCACGCTGTTTGGATGTTCAACGAGTCGAGAACTCGTGCCGAGTATGCCTAGGATGCTACATTGGGCGAACTGCCTGTCAATCCTTCCACCGTCCAAAGCGAACACGAGGCGTCACTTGTACAACTTGTACAAAGCCTCGTTTGAGATCAGCACACCGAACTCTGGCTTCGGAGGTGACGTCATTAAGACAACCGCCACGGATACCAGACGTACACCCGTCCAACACCCCTCTCTGCAAGGACTGATGGCTCACTCAAGTCCTTGGAAGAGCAGTGCACGCAGCGCATACGGGAGCAAGAAAGTGCGTGCAAGGCCGATGGGCATAATCCATAACGACGACTCGCAAACGACTGCTCGGCACTCGCCAGCGAAACACGAGGATTCTGATGTGAGAGCTCCTTTTCGAAGTGTCGCTTTTCGCTGGGAGTGCCTCGTAGCCAAAAGTCGACATATCGAAAGAGTACCGGTCGGGCGCAGGAATGGACAAGAAGGATGTGACACTCACCGTTCGCGTTGAACCAGACGTGCCAGTGTGCTTTCCGGGCACTGAACAAGCACGAGCAGCTGCCCCTCCTTCTCGCCTCGCTTCCCGACCGCTTGCAAGCGGCCGTTCTTTAGGACATCGAGGAGCCGCGTGTACTGTTGGGTGGCCTGACGCGCATTCTCTCTAGCCTGCGGCTTTGAGAGCACTTTGCCTGGAGACGAGCGGAAGACAAGGACAAGATCAACCTGGGGGGCCATGGCTGAGGATGGGGAGGTTGATGTTGAGAGACGACCACAGGGAGCCAGGGGAGCGACTCGAGGCAGCGACTCGCGAGATGACTTCACAGGTACACGAGGCCCCAATGCGTGGCGTTCGGATGTCTAACCTGTAGATACCTACTACAACTAGAGCATTCGCCGGGATATGTGGAGTTACCGCTGTGTCGCAGGCTTGTACGTGTGGTGGTACTAGCAGGAAGATGTTAGTAGTACTAGGTAGACGTCGCGTCTAGAAGTTCTAGCAAAAGGTGTTTGACGGTGGCTTCTGGTAGCTTGCTGCAGCTATGGCCAAAAGATGCACTACTTTTGTTATTGGTGCTCCATAGCAGTAACGCTTGGATGGCTCAGTTGGTTAGAGCGCAGGTCTCATACGCAAGTATGACCACTACGGTGGGCAATCCTGAGGTCATGAGTTCGATCCTCATTCCGAGCAATAACGATAATCCATCTTTTTTGTACTTCCTCGAATCTTTTCACCTTGTATTCCCAGACATCTGGTAGTACAACCAGCTCCCTCCTCGTCATGAGAACACGAACGATGAACATAGATATACGCAATACACATCACACAAACTATTCCGACCCTACTACGCTGAAGCACCCACTCCCTGCTGTCCATTCTGTCTCCCATCACCGATGTCCATCCCCGCGAACTGGTTCGTCAGTCCATAGAAAGGCTGCCCAGTAACCGGCGGCCCCTCGCCCGCGACCGGAGAAGTAGGCCCAGCATTCGCATACGGCGATACGCCATATGCTCCCGGCTGTGGTTGGTCTGCAGGCTGTGCCTTGTTGATGTGCAGCGGGGCAGTCTGCGTGACTTCCGCCCCCAGAGTCGTCGTCGAGTCCTGCGTGCCAACCGAGTCGCCGGATTGGGTGCGAGCGGGGGCAGGAGCGCCGGCAGGGGGGCCCTCCTTCACGCCAGGCACGGAGACGAAGTACACGGAGCCGGTGGGGTCTGTGCCGCCGTGTGCGTAGTACTGCGCCCACGCCTGCACGTTCGGGTCAGCGTACGTCGTGTTCGGGTCGTAGACGTAGGGCGGGCCACTCTGTTGCTGCTGCTGGGGCTGAGGTGACGCCTGTCGCACGGATTGCTGTTGTATGAGGGGCTGTTCTTGCGCCTGAGCCTGCGCCTGCGCCTGAGGTTGGGGCTGAGGTTGCACCTGACCCTGCGCCTGAGACTGGGGCTGAACTTGGACCTGAGCCTGCGCCTGCTGCTGCGCTTGGGGTTGAGGCTGAGGCTGGGCTTGGTACTGCGGCTGGACCTGCTGTTCGGGCTGCACGCTCGGCTGGGGATAGACCTGGGGCTGGTGGTGCTCAGGCTGGACACCAGGTTGGGGGTAGATCTGTGGTTGCGGCGTCGGCTCCGGGGCGACATGAGGACCAGGCTGAGGAAGACCGACATGCGGATGATGCTGCACAGGGCTCCGGGATACCCCTGCAGCACAGGAGGATCCACTGGCGGACCGTACGGACTGGGACCCGGGTAGCCCTGAGGCGGCGCCTGACTGTAGACAGACTGCGGACGAGCGCCAGGATACGCGTTCAGGTCGCCGTACGATGGCTGGGTGGGCGGAGGACCATGAGGAGGAGGGTACGCAGCCTCAGCCGGAGGGGGGTACGCCGCCGGAGCAGCGGGGTACGCGTTGTAGCCAGGCTGCTCGTACACATTGGGGTTCCATCCATACGCTTGAGGACCACCCGGAGCGACTGGAGGCCCGCCGGGCGGCAAGTAGTCTTGACGAGCGCGAGAATCAGGCCGGCCTATGTATGACTGGCTTGGGGTCTGGACGTAGCCCGGACGGCCGTCGTAGACTACAAGCTTGTCAGGGAATAGCGCACTCTGTGAGGATAGCATCTATCACGTACCTCCAGTATGACGCGCCAGACTTTCCTCCATCATCCTGTCGAAGATCGTTCGTGCTTTCACGAAGGTCTCGTTCATGGAAACAAGGTCAGCTGTCCGTACGCATGTCAGATTCGTCCATAAATGTGTCAGCTTAAGACACGAACCTCGCTTCTGACTGTACTTGTCGATCAACTTCACGATCTTAGGCCGCAGCGACATGCACGAGCGATACAATTCCTATACATTTCGCTAAGTTGAGTATACGGACGTATATCACACGGCAATAGGACACGAACCTGTATCTCTTCGTTGTCGGCAAGATTGTCTCGAGCAGGGTCCATGTTGCGAAGCATCATGAGTAGACGATCGACATTAGCCGCTTGCGAGAATACAGCCGCTTCTTGCTCTGCCTCCCGCGCAATCTCCGCCGCAGTAGGTTCAGGCAGGGGTTCCTGGTAGGCCGGTGTCAGAAGGAGATATGAACACAGTCATGGCAAACATACCACATAATTGACGGGGAAGATGCCGGTGCGTCCCTTGAGTTGCCCTCGCCACCAATCCTTGTAGTTCCGGTCCACAACCTTGATGATATCACCCTTCTCGAAAGCGAGCTCTCCAGGTTCCGTGGGCTCGAAAGTATGCATAGCACGAACGCGAGTGACGATGGGGATACCCTCTTGCGACGACCGCACCGACGATGGGGATGGGCTGGTGATGGTGGCGCTGGAGACCGATGAAGGAGACGTGTCCACGGCGGAGACAGCGGGGGTAGAAGAGGATGGAACATAACCTCCATATGTAGGAGGCTGTTGGGCAGCGCTTTGCGCAGGGCGGGAGGACGAGCCCGACGGGCCTGCTGCGGACGAGGACGATGCTGCTCCTGAACCGCCAGCACCAGAGCCACCAGCGCCACTGGATGAGGCAAGTGAGTAGGCTTCCCATTGGGATCGCCCGCCCTTATCTTGCATGGACAGCTCCAAGACCCGCTGAAGCTCTTCCTCCTCTCGGCGGCGGACCTCATCGTCCACATCTGGGGGTGGCGGCTCGTTTGGCGTCTCAAACTTGTAGCCTGAATAGACGTTAGTTATAACGGATCGCAACTTTTGCACGGCAGAGACCCCGGCCTCGACGGGAAGAAGCATGGCAACAGGTGAGAAGGGCATCGCGCGGGGTTACCCTTCTGTCGGATCTCGGACGCGTAGAGACCTCTTCGGAGGGTTCCTCTGCGATACCAGCATACGACGGATATTATGCTTCCACTTCGGCCCACCCGGATGTGTGTGTCCCTGCCGTGCTAAAGGTGCAACTCACCTTTGGACTTGAGGTTCTCGTAACATTCCTCCATCAAACCGAGGGTTGGGTCCTTCTCAAACTCGGCAGTCCAGATCGCCACCGACGCAAGGGCACGCTTTCGTACTTTGTCATGTGTGGTCTAGGACAGCGGGAGTTGGGAGGGTGTCATCGCATGGACAAGAATGGACGCACCCTGTCGGTGATGAGCTTCTCCAAGCCCTGCGTGAACGCCCGCGAGGATATCTCCCTGTGAACCTCAATGCCGCAGTTCTTGGACAAGGCTTCAACCAACGTGAGGGTATACAGCTGGACGTTCGGGTTTCGATGCGCTAGCCGCTTTAGCGACGCTGCAATCACATTCCGGGCTCTGTGTTGGGGCAGACTGAGCATCCTCGACAGTGCATGTGGGGATCGCGATGTGCTCACCCTTGCTCCCCTTCCTCCTGAACCTTGTCGCAGAGGTTCAGAATGAGCTCCCAGTTCTCGGCTGTGAGGTTCTCATCGGTAGTCTTCGCTGAAGGAGGGTTAGAATGCCTAGAGCCGCAGAGACGGATGTAAGTGACACGAACCGACGATGTCGTCGTAAGGGTTCGGCTGGCCTCCTCTGAACATGTTATGAGTGTGTGCTGCCTGCAACGGCTTGCAGGTGTAATGGTGATAGCGATGAGGAGGAGGAGGGAGGGTGAGACGCAGCGCACTGCGGACTATGATGAGCACATAGGCGGTGACGGTCCGGCGGTTGCCGGGAGTCACCTCGATATGGAAGCGGCGCCACCGCCCGAGGAGGGCAGCGAGCGTGCAGCAGCGTGGTCCGCCACACTCTTTCTTCTCGTCCCCCACCATGGCTAAGGGTCTGTACTCTACCGTCGTATGTCTTGCCGCTTACGCTGACTTTGCTGGACAGTGCCTAGGAATTTCCGTCTGCTCGAGGAGCTCGAGAAGGGCGAGAAGGGCATCGGCGACGGCTCCTGCTCGTACGGTCTCGAGGATGGAGACGATATCATGATGAGCCACTGGAACGGCACAATCATCGGTCCTGGACACGTCAGTACTCACCTGGACTCGGCATCTTGTGATCGATACTCACCTGGACTCGGCATCTTGTGATCGATGGAATGCGGACTGACTGCGTTTCTGCTGCAGACCGTCCACGAGAACCGCATCTACAGCCTGAGGATCACATGTGGGGAGGACTACCCCGATCGACCTCCCAGTGTCCAGTTTGTCTCCCGCGTCAACCTCCCGTTCGTCAGCCAAGTGGACGGCAAGGTCGACCCCTCCAAGCTCCCTGTTCTCGCACACTGGAACCGGAACTATAGCATTGAGACGGTCTTGGTGGAGATCAGAAGGTGCGCATGTCCTTATTGTTCCTTATCCCAGTACCAATTCTGCCACAGGGAGATGGCGTCGATGAACAACCGGAAGCTCCCTCAGCCCCCAGAGGGCAGCATGTTCTAATGACCGCGTAGATGACATGAAGCGAACTAGCAGTATACATCTTGTTGTGATGAGTATCGTGTTTTAGTATCAACCAAGTATCCCCATTGTTACATATGCTTCGTCCTCGTGCACCTTTGAACCCAAGCTGATCAGTCATTCAACACGCCAGATGCAACTCTTGCACCGCTCTTAGCATGCTCGCGCACCCGCTCTCTCCCCTCCGATGCTGTCATCGTCCTCCAGGTTTCGTCTGCAGGCTAGCTTTCTTTGGGTTCTCCGCCTGAAAGATATAATCGATCTCCTCCAGGTTCCGCCCCTTCGTCTCCACGAACGTCAAGTAGATGACAGCCGCCCCCAGGGCGTCCCACAAGATGTAGAATGTGTAGAAGCGCCAGCTCGCGCGGGCAATCGCAACAGGCGGCACGTATGTGTTGAAGACGTTCGCGATGTTCACCAGCAGGTTCATGAACGCCAGACCCTTCGCGCGCGTGCTGAACGTGAGCACTTCGGTCGGGTACAGCGACTGGGCGGGCGTCCACGAGAACGTGAAGACGATGAGGAAGACGTAGACGAAGGCTATCCCGACGCCCCCAACGACTGGACGTCCGGCTTGCTGCGCGGTGCATGCCGTGATGACAGCGACGGAGAGAGACATGCCGATGCTGGAGGTTATGAGCAGCTTCCGCCGTCCTAGTTTGTCCATCCAGCGCAAGCCGGACAGCGCAGCTACCATCATGATCGGAGTTTGGAGGGCGTTCAACAGCAGCTGGGTACGTTCGCTAGTGATCCCAGCTGTCTTAGCTGATAGTAACAGATGTGATGATGCAGGTCAACTCCAAGCCTAGGTTATAAGC